TCTCTCTCTCCCGATAGATATTCATAAATTTGTCTGTTTATGTACATTCCTGTCTTTTTTTTCATTTTCATGTAATTCTAATAGTTATTGCATGTAAGACACGCTTGTAAAATATTCCCCCTCCCTGTCCCTCTCTACCCCACCCCATCCCCCCACCTCTCTCTCCCCCTCCCTCTCTCTCCATCCCCATCCCTATACGCCCTCCCTTTCCATCCCTCCCCCTGTCTCTCTCTACCTCCCCCTCCCTCTTCACCCCCACCTCTCTACCCCCTCCCTCTTCACCCCCCACCTCTATACCCCATCCCTCCCCACCCCCTTATTCCTCTCCCTCCCTCTCCACCACCCCTCTTCCCTACCCCCTCCCCCTCTCCACCACCCCTCTTCCATACCCCCTCCCCCTCTCCCTCTCCCCTTCTCCCTCCCCCTCTCCCTCCACCTCTACCCTACCTCCTCCCCCTCTCCCTCTCCCCTACCCCCTCCCCCTCTCCGTCTCCCCTACCCCTACCCCTCTCCCCTCCCCCTCTCCCTCTCCCCTACCCCCTCCCCTCCCCCTCTCCCCTTCTCCCTCCCCCTCTCCCCCTCTCCCTCTCCCCTACCCCCTCCCCTCCCCCTCTCCCCTACCCCCTCCACCTCTCCCCTACCCCCTCTCCGTCTCCACTACCCCCTCCCCTCCCCCTCTCCCTCTCCCCATACTCCCTCCCCCTTTCCCTCTCTCCTCCTCCTCTCCCTCTCCCCTACCCCCTCCCCTCCCCCTCTCCCTCTCCCCTACTCCCTACCCCTCTCCCTCTCCCCTCCCCCCTACCCCCTACCCCTCTCCCCTACTCCCTACCCCTCTCCCTCTCCCTCTCCCCTCCCCCTACTCCCTCTCCCTCTCTCTCTCCTCTCCCCCTCTCCCTCCCCCTCTCCCCTCTCCCCTACTCCCTCCCCCCCTCCCCCTCCCTCTCCCCTCCCCCCTCCCCCTCTCCCCGCGAAACAGCAAGCATATACTATTACATTTTTTAACCATTTCCGTTTACTGAAGATTGCATATTCGTAACACCCTAAGTATGTGCTTGAACAAAGACGGTTTCATTGCCATGCGCTACCAAGTTGTGCATGGGGCAAAGAACAAAGAAAAGAAGAAGAGGAGGAGGAGGAGGAGAAGGAGGAGGAGGAGGAGGAGGAGGAGGAGGAGGAGGAGGAGGAGGAGGAGGAGGAGGAGGAGGAGAGGGAGGGAGGAAAAGGAGGAGGAGGAGGTGGGGGAGGGGAATGGGAGGGGGTTGGGATTAGGAGGACAAAAAGAAGAAGAAGAAGAAGAGGAATAGGAGCAGGGGGGGGGGGAAGGGGAAGGAAAGGGAAAGAGAAAGGGGAAGGGGAGAGGAGAAGGTGGGGGAGGGGAATGGGAGAAGGAGGAGGAGGAGGAGGGGGAGAGGGAGGGAGGGAGAGGGAGAGGGAGGGGGAGGAGTAGGAGTGGGAGAGCGAAAGGGGAGATGAAGAGGAGAATATGGAGACGGGATTGAGGAGAAAAAAAGAGAAAAAAAGGGAAAAAGAGATATAGGAAAAGAAGAAGAGGGAGGAGATAGTTAATAACAGGAAAAGGAAGAAGGCAAAAGAAAAGAGGAAGTAGACGAGAGAGAAGGATTTGGAGCAAAGGAAAAAGTAGAAGAGAAAGAAAGAGGAGAAGAAGAAGAAGACGAAGAAGAAGAAGAAGAAGAATAGGAGGAGGAGGAGGAAGAAGAAGAAGAAGAAGAAGAGGAGAAGGAGGAGGAGGAGGAGGAGGAGGAGGAAGAAGAAATGTGGATGTGTTGAGGAATGAGGAAGAAGAAGATAAGGATTTAAGGGAAACAGAAGAAAAAGGAAGGAAGAGGAAGAAAATACAAATTGAAAAAAAGGGAAGGAGAAGAAAGGAGAAAGAGGAGGAAAAGGAAACAGACAAAAAAAGGAAGATAACAAAAAAGAAAGATAACGAAAGAAAGAAAAAAAACGAGAGATAACAGACAAAAAGGAGAGAAAAGAAAGAGAGAAAGGGAGATAGAAATAAAAAAGAAAATCTAGGACGCTAACGAATCTAAGAATAGCCTCCACCAGCTGCAAAGGACAAACAAACAACACATTATTAGCATGATCTCAGCTTCCGAAGTCAAAGCGAGGGTGGGGGGGAAGGGGGGGAGGCAGAGGCAGGCCGCTCCATTGCTTCTCCCTTTCTCTCTCTCTCTCTCTTTTTCTTTCTCTCACTCTCTGTGTCTCTCTCTCTCTGTCTTTTTCTTTCTCTCACTCTCTCTCTCTCTCTCTCTCTCTCTCTCTCTCTCTCTCTCTCTCTCTCTCTCTCTCTCTCTCTCTCTCTCTCTCTGTCTCTCTCTCTCTCTCTCTCTCTCTGTGTCTCTCTCTGTGTGTCTTTTCCTTTCTCCTACTCTCTCTTTCTCTCTCTCTCTTTCTCTTTTTCACTTTCTCTCTTTCTCTTCATCTTTCTTCCTCTCGAAAAATTATAACGTCATACCAGCTGTGACAAAGACCGCCTTCTGTAATCGTCTGATTTTCTGTTATTATTATC